TCTCTCTTTCTTTCTTTTTTGTTAATCCTCACCTGAGAATATTTTTCCCATTGATTTTTAAAGAGAGTGGAAGGGAGGGGAAGAGACACAGAGAGAGAAATATTGATGTGAGAGAGACATATCAATTGGTTGCCTCCCACATGTGCCCCAACCAGGGCCAGGGATTGAACCTACAACTGAGGTATGTGCCCTTGATCAGAATCGAACCCGGGACCCTTCAGTCCACAGGCTGACACTCTATCCACTGAGCCAAACCAGCTAGGTCCATGGTTCTTTTATGGCAACCTTAGCAAACTAACAAAAACCCCTACTGGTTGCCAGTGGCCAGAGCCACTCTGAGAGCATCCTTAGACACTGATGCTGGACAATGAAGCTGGCTTTGCCCTAAGTCCTAGAATAGACATAGCAGCATTTCAGCCACAGACAATGCTGTTGTAAAGTTTCCCCCCAGGTCCCGCGTGGTTCAGGGTTCAGGATCTGGAAGAGGTCCGCACGCAAATGAAAGAGACAAGACAAGAAATAATAATTTGGAAATATTGGGAGACCAGGTGGGCAAGTCCAACTCAAGGGGAAGGACTTCCACTGGTGCTCAGGCCTTGCCAACCTTTTATTGATCTGGGATACACCCATAGCATAGCCCTTAAGCAGGCAATTTCCAGTAACTGGCAGACTAGCCCTTCAGCAAGGATTTACATAAGAATAAATGGGGAAGTTGCTTCAGCTACCATTGTCTGGACTAACAGTGGGTGCACAGCCCACCAGGGCTTCAAGGGTCACCTGCCTTCCGGGATCCTTGTCCACACCTCTCTGCTAGTGAAGACAATAGGCAGCTTCCCACACAATGCCCCCTCACCTGCCTTTGCTGTAATCATACTGTGAATAAACACAAAGAGAGGCTTCAAGGCCTCCCGGGGGCTCCCCAGATCAGCTCCCTACTCCCCAAAGACAGATGCAGTACCAGACACGGTAGTAAAGAGGCCAGTGTTTGAATGCAGCTAGAAACCTTGTGGCAGGGGTATGGAATGGTGCCTTTCTAAGGGACAGCCTTGCTCCATTCTGGCAATAACAGAGATTGGCCTCATACTACCTTTTCCCATCCAGTACCATTAGCCCTCTAGGTATTGGACATTCCTCCCACCTACCAGCAGGTGACCGGCTGTGACTTGGGGCCACCCCCAGAGAGTGCCCATTCCCTTCCTGCTCATTGTGTCCATGTCTTTATCAGCATGTCTGTGCTGGATTAGTGGGCTCCCTGAGGGTGAAGAATGTGTCACGTTTGCTAAATCTGTTACTTCTCACCTAACACAGCCCTGAGCCAGGGCCTGAATTAAAAGAGCCCTAGCTAATTCTCTAGGAGAGCTTGCTTGGTTTTTGGCCATAGAAGAGGGTCTGAAATGTGGCCAAGTGGTTTGCACACCTAGTTGGTTCCATAAGACAGGCTATTATACCTGTGCAGTTGTAATAGAGATCAAACAGATTTTGGATTTGATAACTCCCCAGGATTACAACCTTAATCGTTCCCCCTTAATTGGAAATGCCTTTGCAGGGCAATACCTTTGTGAAAGTCCTGTAGGTAACACTTTGTAAAACAAGACATCATTTTCTCCCAGGTATTTCTCCTGTCATTCCACATGGCACATTTCCTCTTTCTTTGTCCCCGAATTCTCACTGTTGAAGCTATTCTTTTGGAAAAGGCGTGACTTGCGGGGAGGGGGGAAAAGAAAAGTACAATTAAGAAAATAACCATCTCATTTAATTCCATCTCCCAGGGATTAACCAAGTTAACATGTTGTGTTCCCCTCCGGTCTTTTTTGATGTACATATGCTTTTATTAAGAAATAACATTGGGGGGGAGGGGGAGGATGGGGGTTTAATGGAGGGGATGAGGACACATTTGTAATACCTTAACTAATAAAGAATTAAAAAAAGAAAATAACATAAAACTAGAATCATATTTTACAATTTCTCATTTTTCTACTTAATATTTCATGAATGTTAAACCGGCTGCTTAGCATTCTAATGTGAGCATAAAGTTAGGTTAAAATGTCCCTCTTTGAGGATGTTTAGTTTGTTTCTAAGGTTTTGCCCTTAAAAAAATTCTGTCATGGATATCCTTGCACTAAATTATTATACATATTTCTGATGATTTCCTTCAGATAAATGCCTGTAAGTGAATCTGTTATCATAGAATCTGAGAGCAGCAGGACGCTCTGGAACGGGACTGCTGCAGAGTGGACATGAGGTCAGGGCTGCAGGAAGACCACCGGCAGTGCATGGGGCCCTGCAGCACGTGGCTCCAGGCCTGCAGTCTCAGCTTCATTTCATTCAAACACTAGCTCTTTGATCTCAGCAAAGCTCTTTCCACTTCTGAACCTCAGTGTCATGATCTGTAAAATGAGGTTAATGATCTCATGTAAATCAGAACAAAGGTCATCCCTTAGAAAAGAAGGCAGTTCCAAATACTGAAATTCTTATAAAGTGACTCAGATGGATGAGGACAGTCTCATTTACTTTAAACACACACACACACACATACACACACACACACACACACACACACACACACGGCATTGTTTAAAGAAAATAC